TAGTTGGTTTGTGATGTTGCTAACCTGGGACTGAGTCCACCTCTGACAACTGCAATGCTGCTTTATCTGTTTCCAGCTACCTGTACTGTGTGCTCTAGCTCTGTTTTCTCTGTTCAAGTATAAGTGATAACTTATTTGTATAATAAGCTGTTTCTCTTAAAGGACTGCAGAAAATTTCTTAACCAACTAAATGACAGACTTGGGGATAAAAGACGGTGAGTTACGCGTGGCTAATTTATAATATTTTATATCCCATGAGCCAGAAAGTGCAGTGATTTTCTTTTTTAAATGAGGGAAATGTACAACGTTAAGGTTAAATGGTGTGTAAATTGCAATATCCACATTAACAAGTAGCATATTCTTTGTAGATTCTGCTCTCTGCTCTTACTTTGATGAAAGTCAAAATCTTTAACATTCCCAAAGCTTAGCACTATTTATTTGAGAGCTTATCAACATTTAGAAAGGAAATTAGCTTTAAGGGACCACTACAAGTAGTCTAGCCATTGTTTCAACCCTGTGTTCAACAACCCAGATGCCACTACTGCTGCTTTTATTTATTTTTTAAAGACCCAAGCAATTCATAAAATGCAGTACTAGAACAAATATATTGATGAATGATCAGTATCTAAATAGTTATCTCTCCTCTATTTTATTTTACTTTTGTTTAAAAATGAAATGGTAGTTTGCTACCTTTTTGACAGTTTTAAGGTGCTAACTTTTAAGACTGGCTTTGTAACTGTCAGTGGATCTGCTCTTTTCTAGAGGGAAAAAAATCAGTCCATAGACTAATGAATGCCAATCATGTAAAGCAGTTGTAGTTTTAAAGAACCTCGCCTTGGAGAAAAGGACAGGATGAACATAAAATAAGTGTATGTCGCTTTCGTCTCCTGAATCTCCTGCAAGTGTATCTGATAGCTTGAAAACTGCTAGTTTTTTTTTTTGAAAAGCAAGGTTCTTGAGAGCGTTAACCTTCTTTCAAGGTTTTAGTTTAAATACAAATTCAGTTTCTGACTCGTTAAGAAACAAATTAAGTTCAACTGAGTTTCTTTTTCAGAGTATATTCAGTTCCTTGTACATTTGCTGTTGCTGACATGGATGAGGTAACAACTTTTTAAGTTATGATTTATGTTCCTTGCATTATTACTGTATCAATCAATGTGGTTAGTTTGTCCACTTATCAAAATTAATTATTTTTGAGAACTTTTTACCATGGATGTGCCAGTTGCTTATACTAGTGCGATGAGGAATACCTATTTTATGCTTACGTTTGCCAGACGACTGGAAAGTTGCCTGCCTTTACTGTCAGCCAGACAAAGTGAACAGGCCAACTGTCTCTTGAATTCCCTCAAAGGGTCAAATTGTTCATGTAGCCATGTAGTTAATTTGCAGGAAAGTGATAAAGAAAGAAAGAAGCTAACATTAGCCCTAGAGATTTTTTCAAAATAGCAGTCAAAAGAACTAGGCATTCCTGCCGTTCCTGAAGAGTAGGTCCCAAGCTAGTTTATAAGCCATAAAGATTCATGTGAGGATCCATAGTCAGTTTAATTCTGTAAGTGTACAATGGATGCTGTACTCCTTAGAATATCGAGAGATCAGACTTACATAATTGAATTTATAGCTGAAAACTTCCATCAGTTCTGTTTTTTAATAAGGTTAAAGAAATATATAGTGTCCTTCAAGCTTGTATAAAACAAATGATGTAAAGGTTTGCTTAAATGTTGAAATATTTTATTTTCCTGTTGACTGATGTACAGCAAATTTCTAGCTTTGTTGGTACCGCAAGGCAATTACAGGCTTTCCAGGTATTAGAATGAATCTCATCTTTATAATAGGCAGAAACAAATATAATTGGTTATACCAAAGATCATACATTACAGTGAAATGAAGTGTGCAGTTTGGGGAAAATGGAACCCTTTTGTTTTACTGCTTTTGGAAATAATCGTAATGGCTTTTATACTTTGTAAGGTAAAGAAACCATCTGATGAAAAACTGGAGGAATTTTGGATTGATTTCAACCTTGGAAGTCAGAGTTTGACTTTCTATATAGATAGCCCTGAGGTAAAAATATTTTCCAGTTTTTCTTTGTAAATTTAACTAAAATATTAAACAAAAATTACTCTTTGATACTTTTTTTTTTTTGGTTTTTAAGGGTGCTCTTTGGGAATCTGTGCGCCTGTCAAAGGAGGCAGTTAGTAGTTACAGTGTTAAAGGTAAGATCATGCAAAAAAAAGTGTTCTCCTCATTGGCTTCATAACCAAAAGAAAATGGAGATGTATTTACATACCTCAAACTGAACTTTTGTGCATCCAACAGGATTGCAGTGTAAGTGCTGCCAACTGCTGATGTACTGCAATTTCAAGCCTAACTTGGTTAGGCCTTTTAACTTCTAATCTTTTGAATGGATAAAGGGTTTTTTATGATTTAGTGCAATATGATGGCAGAAATATAATTCTAGTCACTCTTGTGACAGCACAGTGTTATGTATAAGTGCATGCTTGAGCTCATCATGAACATCTGTTGGTCTCCCAACAATTCTGTTTAACTGCCACAGAAATCAGTGGCCTTGCTGGACTAATAATGGGCCCTAAAAGACATTTCTTGTGAGATCATCCTAACAGAGATCTTAACAAGAAATTACTACTGTGGGGCACAAACCCCGGCATGTACAACTTTAGAAGAGGAGTGTACTTAACATGTGGCATGCCTGCCAAAAATGTTGGCCTTTACTACTGTGACTATGCTGGCATAGATGTGTTTTGACTCCATAATGTGGTGCAGGGGTAGCCAGCAGCAAACTGAGAACAGAAAGCAGAGCAGTCAGAGCATGGGGCAGGGAGCAGCAAGCAGCACAGCAGATGGGCAAGGGAGTGGGATCAGAGTGGTGGTGGGGGAGAGTTGTGGAGGGGGTGTAGGTCTAATTTGTGGCAGACCTGCAAAAGGTTTACCCCTGCTGATGTAGTGTGTACCAACAGAAATCACTTTTTTTTGCCTGTGAAGCTGTGCAGTCTTCCTGAAAGACCCAAGTTTAAGCCATAAAAGGCTCTCTTTCACTTGCAT